TCGAAGCCCGTGACCTTGAGGATCGTTCCGATTGGGTAGCCAAGTTTCGGGAATCATCCAAGTCCTTGGGGGAGGTCATCAAGGAGACCAGTGTGGCACGTGATGCCCATTGGGTACCACATGCGGTGCCCGGGGCTCCCAAGGCAGAGGCGAGCAAGCCCACCACGGTGGCTGCGACAGCAGTCCAGCCACCATCCCAGTTTGCGTTGGGCAAGCCGGTTAGTAGCAAGAAGGTGGCCAAGGTGATGCGCGATGGCTCCAAGATTTGCCAGGCTTTCCAACATGGACAGTGCAAGAACCCCAAAAGCTCTTGCCCCCAAGGCCAGCACAAGTGTGGTATCGTGGTTCGTGGTGAACGCATTTGTGGTATGCCGGGGCATGGAGCTATCCAATGTCGGGCGAAGATTTCGCCATGACGGGGCCCAGCGGGAGAGGCGGGCACTTCTGCTGGGCAGGATGAGGCAAGACCCGTAGACAGAGTTGACTGTCAGCTGCCACGGATGGCGGACCTTTATGCGGGGCCTAATACACCTCTGTCCAAAGCCTTTATCTTTTGTGGTTGGGAGACCATTTCAGTGGATTGGATGTTGGATAGGAGTCATGACCTATCCAACAGCCTCAGGCAGCAATCGCTGCATGAGCAGTTGCAGTCCGTGTGCTTCATCGCAGCAGCTTTGGATTGCTCCACCAAGAGCCGCGCGAGGGAAATTCCGCGGGATTTTGGTGATGGGCGCCCACCACCCCGACCGTTGCGGTCTGAGCAGCACCCGCTGGGTCTACCTGAGTTGACAGGTTCTCAGCAGACAAGGGTGGAGCAGGATAATGCGGCTGCGAGCTTTGTACTGTCTGAGATTGATCAGTTGGTGGACAGGGGTGGTGGATCAGTCCGCGAGAACCCATACAACAGCCTCCATTGGTGGACACCGGATGAGGTGGCGATGTGGGAGAGCGGTCGCTGGTCCGACCAGCGGTATTCAGCCTGCTGTTTTGGTGGTGCGAGATCGAAGCTGCAGCGGTTGCGCCACAACATTGCAGAGATCGCTCAATGGCCTCGAGCTGACTGCAACCATTTCCATGATCCCCAGGAATGGGAACCTTGGGTCCAGAATGGTAAGCGCCATTTCCCTTCAGCTGAGGAGTCCGAGTATACAGCAGAGCTCTGTTTTGCGATTGCCACGGCAGCTTCGTGGTGGGCAGTGCGTGTTGGACACGCCAAGCTCAATGTGCCGAGGTCCCCATCGCCAAGTTGTACTGGGCATCGGGACCATTGGCTTGACCTCGATCCCAGAGCACTTCGTGAGTGGGCTATGACCCCACTGGCCATCAGCCTGGGTTTGAGGCCTTTGGACACAGCTGAAGCGGCTAGGGTGCCCACGAGAGCATGTGTTGAAGATGTCTTGCAACAGGGCGCACTTCCCCCCGGTCATGTGTATGTGGGGCTTGGAAGTCATAACCACCGCCTACCGACCACCAAGTGGAAGTCTCCATGGCAGGTGGGCGTGAATTGCACCCCTCAAGACTGGGTTCCCTATTACGTCCAGTACATCAGGGAGACACTCTGGTGCGAGTTGGATGAGCTCGAGGGAGCAGTACTGGTCTGTGATTGCCCTGCAGCCCAAACTTGTGAGGCCGACCTCCTAGGGGGGTTGATTTTTGATCGCTTGAGCGAGCAGGGCCAGCGGAGTGCCCCACAGGTGGTCCAAGGTCATTCTGGCAGGGGTCACCAGGGAGTTACCCGATGTGTCCTCTTGTCAAGTGTAGCGCAGGCTACAGGCATCCCCTTCGGGCCATTTTACATTCTGCAGGAGTCCTTGGCGTTAGCGTTCAAGAAGCTGTACCCAGGCGAGTGGTTCGAGGGAGTTGCCATCCCCTTTGTGGAGGACTTGGTGAACCAGCACCCACTTGACCTGTTTGTGCGATGGCGCCACCAACAAGGGCTGGACATGGAGGGCAGCTGTAACCCGGTGTTGGCAGCCCCTTCAGTGCGGCAGAAGATGAGGACGGCAGAAGGGCAGCAGGTGGGAGCGATCAACCACAGAGCGGCGCTGGCCCCTCTTCTGCCCTTTCACCTTCAGCCAGACCAGCATTTTGAGCAAGCCCTTCAGCTCAGCATGCAACAGTTGCCTACTGAAGGGCTTCCCATGTTGGATGAGGATCTGAGGTTTGCTGCATCTTTCTCTAGCCTGCCAGGAGTTGACCTGCGTAGGTTGCGAGAGCACGCCATGGGCATCCTATCTGAGATGAAGAGACGGTGGAGCTCGATCACGGCCCATTTGAGACGCAAACAGACTGAGGCCATCAGGACGGCAACAATGCAGCGTGACATCGGCTTCACTGCAATTCTACTTCTTGTAGCCAATTGGGGTGACGTGACACTGCCAGCAGGCCTGTGTATGGGGCTTCCCGCAGTGGGTTACGCGCCGCCATATGGCATTTTTCCGGAACAAGTTGCCACACGTTTGACAAGAGAGGAGGTACTCCAGGACTGGCAGAGCCACAACCAGACCATTTTGGCTCGGCTCAAGCCAGGTGCCGATGATGAGTTTTTGTTGCAGCAAAGCCTTAAAGATGCTGAGAAGGGTTTTTGTGGGTCGCCCATGACTGCAGAGGAACTGCAGCGTTGTCTGGGTGCGGAACCCCACCGATTGATCCCGCGGTGCGTCATCACACAATCCTCGGGGAAGCAACGAGTGATTGACGACGCCTATGTTGGCTTGCAATCTGAGCGTTCCAGTGATGCAAACAAGCTCACACTCTGCTCAGCGTTGCGGCCGGCCCAACACCTGCAGTATGCCTACGCCTTTGGGAGGTCACCCAACTGGGAGGCAGAAGAATGGGAGTCTGGAGGTGAGGATTGGCCGGACGCCTATCGTTTTTGCCCTATGAGTTGGGATGAGGCCTTATGCTGCATTGTAGCTTTCTTCCATCATGAATGGCAACAACCAGCGTTTATGATTTATACAGGTTTGCTATTTGGTCTTCCTCTTGCGGTCACATCGTTCAATCGATACAGTCGTTTTGTGGAGGCTTTATCACGTCGATTTGCCTTTTGTTTGACCAGTCTGTATTTTGATGATGCTCACTTGACAGACCGCAAATCGTGCCGGGGATCAGGTCAGAGAGCTTTGCAGACTCTCAACACCCTTTTGGGTACACCATTTTCCGAGGAGAAATGTCAGAAGATGCAGAGTACCGGCACATTTTTGGGCCTGGATCATGACTTCAGTCAAGTCCATTTGAAGGGTCTGGTTCAGTTTTGGGCCCGTGAACGCATCGAGACCAAGCTGCTTCATCTCATGCAAACTGCCGAGGAATCCGGCAAACTGCAACCAGGGGTGGCAGCCAAGCTCTACGGTATCGCCAACTTCTTTGAGCTTGGCGTGTGGGGGCGTATTGGCTGCGGTGGCTTGGCCCCAATCAAGCACAGACAGCAGGAGCGCTCTTCAGAGTTAACTGAGGAGTTGCGCCAGAGCTTTGACCTGCTACGCACTGTCATCACCACCCGTCCCTCTCGCCACATTGAGATCTGGCCACATGCAGGGCTCCGCTTCCTCGCTGCTTCGGATGCTGCGTTGGAGAGCCCAGGTCAGGGGACTGGGGGCTTTTTGGTGGTGTGGCATGACGATCACAGGCAACACCGGGAAGCATTTGTTTCTCTCATTCCCCCATTGGTGTACAGCCTATGGGAGCCTGGTGACAAGAAGATTGCCCAGTTAGAGCTGCTGCAAGTGCTCTATGCCTTGTTTTCTCGGCCGGCCAGATTTCGAGGCAGACGAGGACTCTGGTTCATCGATAACACGGCAGCGTTGATGGCACTGATCCGAGGTCGTTCTGACAATGCAGATTTAGAGCATATGTCACGGTTGATCCATTTTACTCTTTTTGGTCTTAAGGCTTGGTTTTTCTGGGAGTGGATCCCTAGCAAGGCCAACTGGTCTGATGAGATCAGCCGTGAAGGCCTCCAGGCAACATGGCACAAACGCCATGGGTTCACCACGCATTTTGCATTTTTCCCCTTCGAGATTTGGTCTCTACCACTTCCTGCGTTTCTCCGGGTTGTGGAGTTTCTATGAGTGCTTTGGGATGAAGTGCATTGGGAGAGATTCAACCTGTGTAGCCTCCTGAGTTTACAGGAGCGCGGAACAGGGTGTACGGATCCAACCAGTGCTGCTGTGCAGGAGACTACCTGCACAGCGTTCCAAAGCACTATCCTGCGAGGAGCAGGTTGAGACCGCACGAAGAGTTTGGGAAGAAAAAGCCATGCGGATGTGAGCCTGGACATAGTGAACCGTTTAAGTGTATATGCTTTACATCTCACAACTAATGTATGTATGCATCGTGTTTGGCAGGCACTGGGTGTGCATTATCATTAGGGTGAGTATGTAAGCTGATGAATCCATTTTGGCTCAAGTCTGAGCCAAACTGGCTTCATCGTTCTTTCTTTTCCCTCCCTTCCCTCCCTATGAGGTAGGACTCCGGTGGAGTATCCTCCCTTGTAGGGGATCACATCATTGAGGATGCTGATCTCTACGTGGAGTTCCCACGACTGTAGCACTGGGCGGGAGAGATTCAACCTGTGTAGCCTCCTGAGTTTACAGGAGCGCGGAACAGGGTGTACGGATCCAACCAGTGCTGCTGTGCAGGAGACTACCTGCACAGCGTTCCAAAGCACTATCCTGCGAGGAGCAGGTTGAGACCGCACGAAGAGTTTGGGAAGAAAAAGCCATGCGGATGTGAGCCTGGACATAGTGAACCGTTTAAGTGTATATGCTTTACATCTCACAACTAATGTATATGTATATAAATGTCTTTATATATGTACATAATAACATAACTTCTGTTCAAAAATATGTTGATTTGAGGATCCGAATGTTTTGGTTCGATGAAATGCTGAGGGATTCTAGTCGAACATGTTTTAAACAGAAAAAATCCAATGGCCAAGGGATACATTTCAACATGTTTCGCAGACTCAAGGCAACAGCTTTCGCTGCCAACCTAAGGCCAGAGATGATCCGGCTTTTGTAGTGGTCCAAACCCCAGGGCCCTATGGGGCCTCAGGCACAATTTCTGTCCGTTTTCTGTGTGCTTCGGATGGTGAGTCAAGGTCCTGATTTTTTTCCTCTCGGTCGTTGCCATTGCGTATGGTATTGCCTTTGAAGCAGGAGGCGGGGGCGCAGTTGTGCTTTTCGGTGAACCGGTTACACTTACACCGGTTAGCACCTTCAAGGCACCAACTTCATTCACATTCTGGTGCGCTTCGTTTTTATTCACTTCCTTCTCTTCGGCGTGGTGGTTTCCAGTGTGTGTACCTCAACGGACCGGGGTTCCAGACCGGTTCTGAATCCCTGCAACGCACTGCACTGCACTGCACTGCATGCGTTCCGAGGTGTCGTGGTTTGTGGCCAACAACTACATGCGCGCGCAATCCTTCCACGGAGTGGAACAAAAAATGGTTGGGAAACCCGATGATCTGATGATCTGATAAGATTCGTCAGCTGATATTTTTCCATGGCCTCTCAATGTGAGTGTGCGGCTTGCGCCGCCAAGGAGTGGATGTATGCTTTTGATATTCATTGCAACTCGTTCTTCCCTTTTTTCTTGGTCTTGTACGTGGCAGCCTCAGCTTGGATACTTCAGATTTGATGGGGCCATGGTGAAAGAGGCACTCCACCTGCTCCAGGTCTTGCATTATCTTCTGCTGCCCCTGCTGTCGCAGAGCACATGGTTGGCAGCCACCTTCAGTCTGGATGCCGATGGCTGTAGCGTTGTTGTATACCGTAAACACGGCGTTGTCGTTGGCTGATTGGCTGAGGTAACCTCCTGTACGCAGTGGCCACGTGCTACTACTTGTACATCATGTCTCTAGGGCCCATGCCTCAGGGTCATAGTCCTTGTCCCAGTGGTTGATACAACCTGGTGGGAATCTGGTGGCATGGAATTTTTCAACAAATGTGGCTACAAAATACGGAAAGCAAAGGGTCAGGAACGGCTGCTGTTTTCCCATTTTCCGTTGGAATCAGATGGCTCTTGCGACACAGCTGGCTGCTGAGGTATAGCATGTTGCCTTTCCTGGAACGGACCGAGGTAATTTTGTATCCAGCAGGCAGAACACTGGGCACTTCAAATCTAATCCTTAATCCTTGCGCCGGATTGCGGATTGTCGTTTTGCGGAGGCTGCGCGTGATTGGTTTTCATGTATCCTGTGCTAGTTACGCTTGTTTAAGAGGCACTCAGTAGTACTGCTCTAGACTACTCTTGTACGACTCTACACCATATTTCACTACTCTACACGATCCTGCGCTGCTCTACACTACTTTACAATACTATGCATACTCTTCCATACTCTGCAGAAAACGACGGTGCAAGAACTGTAACACTCTTCTACCATTCAGTATGGTCTATATGTTTGATTTCTTCAACTTCCATACTACTCTTCACTACCCTACACAACTTTACACTACCCTGCGTTGCTCTACTCTACTTACTTTGCACTGTTCTACACCACTTTGCACTGCTCTGCAGCACTTTGCACTTTACACCACTTTGTATACACCTGAGTTGTCCTCCAACGCAACGGATTAGGGGAAGAACCTAAGAACCAGGATTGGGTGGAGCGATGATGAATGGCTCCCCTCTGGCGAAATCTTCTGGTTGATAGCCAGTGGTTCGGAGGGAGCTAAGGGTCCATCGATATTCCACAATGGGAGCCCAATGGAGTCAGGGAGCAACTGGAAGTTTCCCAAGCACATGATAGTTACCACCTGGTTATGACTAACATAGCCATGGTATAGATGGCCCTAATCGAAATAGATGGTTTACTTATTAAAAAAGGTGATTTTCCATGGCTATGTTAAATAACCAGAGGGTACCTTGATCAAAATGAGTTCTGTGTCACTATGAGTATCACATAGTATCAAGTATAGTTATCACTTATCACTGATATTATCAGGATGACATCATTTGTTTCTAAACCTGATGCTCAAAGCCTATAGAAAGCCTACAGCAGTGACAGCAGACAGGTGTGGTGGTGCTACTTGCCTTCATTCTGAGCATCTTGGGGGTCAACCTAACTCACCTTTCCCTGCAGAACATGGGCATCTCATGACAGCCGAGCCGATGCCGACAAAACAAACGCCAGCGCCGGGGTTGCTCTTGAGCCCACTGTGTCATGAGAAAGAGGATGGAACCAGTTGACATAGCGAACTGGAAAGATCCACCATTTTTAATAGGCAAACCATCTATTTCGATTAGGGCCATCTATACCATGGCGAACTGTTAGTCGTAACCAAACTGTAGATGTTTTGTATTATTTTTTTCGGCTTTGAAATGGGATGAGTCTTGCAAGTCTTAAATTTGTGACTGTCTCAAAAAAATGAGCCTCCAAAACGAACCCCCAATCGGTACAATCCCCAATCGGTCAATTCGGTCATAGGTCGAAAAAAAACATCATTTGGGTTTCTCTGAAACTGGTGTATCCCTCCCAAACGGCACTTTTTCTTGGGATAGTAATGCGTAATTCAGCCAAGCTCAGCACAGATCGCGGCTTCCTTTCGGCTCAGATGATGGCCCAGCGCGGAGATGAGGCAGGGGGTCCCCATAAACGGGATCACTGAAATTATGGGCTTATATAATGTGGGTAAGGCAATCATAAACCACCCATGACTGGGAATGGTAAGTTTATACCACCTATAATTTCATGGTGATGACTGGGGGATGGTGCAAATGGCATTGTTTTACCAACATTACCCTCTGGTAAATTAACATAGACCCTGAGAATCGCCAATTTTTAATGGAAACTAATCTTCCAAGCCCTATCTGCCAGAGCCTATGTTAATTTACTGGAGGGTAATGGATTTTCCATGAAAATTCTATGAACAAAGGGATGATTTTTTGCGGTACCCTATGAAAAAGAACCCCCCCACATGTTGTCAACCAGTTAGACTGTGAGTGAAACAATGATGAGGCCAGGTATCTGTCAGTGACATGCTAATTCTGAGGTACCCTCTGGTAAACATTTATATACATAACTATGGAAAATCACCATTTTCAATGGGTAAATCAACTATTTCCATGGCCATTTTCAATAACTTTTTGTATGCTTACCAGAGGGTATCATGGTTTCACTCATTCTGGCGTATTTGAAGAACACCATTCCGTGAAATCATGAAAACAAAGGGTGCTCCCCTCAGACTCGGCGATTCTCGACATTTCAGGGCGACTCTGGGAAGGTGTAACTGTAACTAATAAGGGGAAGGGAATTTTGTGACATCACAGACATTGATATTTCTAACTCTAACTATTGATGTTTCTAACTAGTCGACATTTCTAACTATTGATATTTCGAACTACTGATATTTTGGATTATTTTGGTAACTCTTATCTGCACATCGCTTGAAGATCCAGGTAGCGCAAGTTGCACTCCGATGACAGCGCCACGTCTCAGTCTCAGATTCTCAAACATGACATTTTCCGGGAATCCCCTGAAAATGGTCGAACGGTCCAACATTTCCGGTTTCACATCAAAACCATCCAGTAAACTAAGGTAGCCATGGAAAATGATCCGTCTTTAGATGATCTTCTGATTAAAACCAATAGTTTCCATGGCAAACTATTGGATTACCAGATTGCATGTAGCTATATGTGGAAAATCCACCATTTAGTTCGACGATGGTCCCAGCTATAAACCTCCATGTATAGTATCGCGGATTTCCCATCAGCCCGCTATGTTTGATTGCCAATTCCCAGAGCGTCATTCTGGGAGTTACATCCCCATTCATCATTTTTGATGCTTAATCCCAATTGTTTCATGCTTACATCCCCATTTTTGACGGTAAATCCATGTAAATCCCAATTTTTCATGGTTCTAGAAACGTTCTATTTCCATGTTTATCACGTTTCATGCTTACATCCCCATAGTTTTGCTGAGATCTCCGCATGTTCTCAGAAAACCAGGTCCCGACTACGACGAGGAAGCGCGGAAGCTCTTCGCCCTACTGAACTTGGCACCTTCCGGTGCTGCCTCCGATGCATCTTCCAAGCTCCACAGTTTCTCCGGTGGAATCTGTTGGAAAATGGGATCCAAAGTGTTTGTTTGTTTAGAAAATCTCAATTTGGAATCAGAAAATTCCAAAGTGCTTGGAAAATGGATTTTCGAATCCAACTGGCTTAAAATTCCAATTTCAGCCTTAGAAAATGGTGGTTTGTTTTCCAAAGTGTTGTTTTTGGTGGCTTTTGTTGTCTTTGCTTTGCTGTTGATACTTCGGAAAAGTCCAAACGCCACCAAAAAGAGCAGTTTGACGGAAAGCCGCACCTCTAGAGCTTTACCTACGAGACTGGCCATGTTTTTAAATGCCAGCAAAAAAGTCGTGGTGCACCAAACTGCCACAGCAATCTGAGGTTATCACAACTTGGATGCGGTGTGGAAACATCCCACCAGTGGAGGACAGGTCTTTATTGGAAATGCGACTGCCAGTAGCCAGTCTGAAGCTCAGGACGCTGAGAATTTTTCGATTTCGGGCCAGTTCAAGGGGATACCGAATACAATGTGAGGTTCTTTTGTTCAGAATTTGATGAACCAAAAAAGTGAAGCAACATTTAAGTCTACGATTTTTCTTAAAGAGACCGACAGTCACTGACTCTAAAAACGTAACGTTGTTCCCATGTTTTTCCCTTGGCACAGCCTTCGTGGTGGGTCACCTAGGCGAGGCATCTTGCAGCGAAATAACATCACGCATATAGCGCAACACTCAGCCGGACAGAAAGGGGTTATCTCATCCCTGGTCAAATGGGGTATCGTCAATAGCAACATTAACAACAATGATGAGACAAATTATGCACAATTACCAGTAGTACCGCAAGGCGGTGGCGGAAGTTTCAAAAATAGGAAACCTACAGGAGAGGTTGGTTGTTGTGAATCACGGATGGCAGAGCGACTCCACTGATGGACCCAAAGATGGTTGGAGTTGTGTTTTTGGAATGGTTACAATGGTTGCAGTGGTCACCTGGTCGGTCACCTCACCCACAACTGCTGGATGTAGTGTGGTGTAGTGCAGCTGTAGTTGTGTAGTGTAATGTAATGTAGGGTAGTGTAATGTAGTGTACTCTAGTGTAGTGTAGGGTAATGTAGTGTAGTGGTGGTTGTAGACTGCCACAACACCCTCATGTTTGGCAAGGTGCAGAATTCCCTGCCACCCAAAATGACATCCGAACATCCAAAAGTGCTCCGAACCCCTCAGTTTTCTCCATTTTTGACTTCGAAATGTGCTTCGGGCCACAGCGGCGTGCACTTTTTTCGACATCTCAACTTCAAAAAGTGTTCCGAACTTGGTGTGTTTTGTGCATTTTGAGTTGCACTTTTCGACATCTCAACTTCCAAAAGTGCTCCGAGACCGTCAGTTTCTAACACTTTTGACTTCGAAATGTGCTTCGCGCCACAACGGCGTGCACTTTTTCATTATTTCAATCTCAATTTCTAAAAGTGTCCGAAGCTGATGTGTTTTGTGCATTTTGACTTCGAAATGTGCTTCGCGCCACAACAGCGTGCAATTTTTCATCTCTCATCTGACCAGATCTCTCCGCACCCGCCGCTTTAGCGCGCCTACGTTTCGACCCCCCGGAGCCATAAATCATTGGAAAACACAGTGTTTCGCGACTTTTCCACCTTTTCGCACACATGCATCTTCGTTCTTTACTCTTTCTCTTCTCTGATCTTCTCTCTTCTCTTCTCTTCTCTTCTCTTCTCCTCTCCTCTCGTCTCGTCTCGTCTCGTCTCGTCTCGTCTCTTCTCTTCTCTTCTCTTCTCTTCTCTTCTCTTCTCTTCTCTTCTCTTCTC